ACAAAGGCTGAGCATGTGATGGAGTACTGATTGGGTGGTATCAAATTTTGAAGACAAAAGTAATCGAGGTTCAAGACTGAAAAAGACACAAAATTTCAGGGTTGAAGCAATTCTCTGCTGAGTCTCATGGAACAGATGGCATAATTTTGTGAATAAAAACCTGCATCAAGCCAATCAGCAGCACGTAGCAAAAAATCATGGACAGGATATCTGTAAATGTGCTATGAATAAGCAAACAAACAAAACTCCCCACCAGTAGTATATATCAAATTAAATTTTTCATTTCAATATAATGAGTTGTTGGAAAGTAAATTGGAGCATAGGAGGAATATGAATACAGTTTGGAACAGGAGATATGGAGAAAAAAATATTATGAGAGAAGTTGGGGCCTAGGAGAAGACAAAAATGTTGTATATTCAACTTTTTCTCCACTTATGATGCCTTGAAGTGCAGTGGCTTTCCATACGGGAGGAGCAATCAAGTTTTCAGCTCAGTTGGGATTTGTGGAAGCTGGGTTATTAATTTGTAAAGATATGTTCACTATGAGACAGGGAGCTAAACACCTTGGAGGGAGCTTTAATAATAGAGGTGATGGGGTGACATTAAAGCCAACATGGTTGATAGATCAAGAGAGACCATTGTTGGTGCAATAAGATTAATAAGCAATACTTAATAAGTACGTTTATATGATGATGTCATATGACTACGCTTATTAGCAGATGGATACATTACTTTTTGGAAAAGCAAACTGGAACATTCACACTGAAATGTGGACTCCAGGAAAGTCATGTGACATCTTTTGTGGTTTCTGGAGAATAAGAAAAGACATGTCTTAACATATTTCTGGGATATTAGTATGACATTCCCAGCTATTGATTAACTATCCATTACCATTTCAATGGAAGAAATTTAAAGTGGTAATGGTTGCAAGGGCTACATGTAAATGAGACTTTAGATTAAGTTATTCAGAAGGATAATCATAGGTGGAATGGTGGTGAGGAATCAAACATTTCCTTAGTGTGTGTCAAATTAACTTACTGTGTGAGCAATGGAATACATCAATACAATCATCACATGACTGAAACTGGCTAGAGAGAGAGAGCCAATACATTATTTATCCATTCGGACAGTCCAGTGAGTCACTTTGAGATACAAAGGCTAGAAGGAAGCCATGTGTCACTCAGCAGAAATATGGTTTATCCTCAATGACACCTTAAGCAGAGAAGAGAGGCTTATTCATCTTACCGATTATGTTTTTTTACCACAGGAGCTCAGACATAATTATAACTGAAACAGCCAGATATTTCCAACTCCATTGTTCACATGCATTCAGGAGAGAATCCTTCAGCTTTGCCACATTTAACATAGAAACGAGGAACAGGAGTCAGCCATTTGACCCCTGTGCCACCATTAAATACTGTGGCTTATTCTCTATCTCAGTGCCATAGCCCCAATTTTTCTGCATACTCATTGGTGCCTTTAATATCTAAGGAAAATAATCTCTTTATTGAACATGGGATAACACAGTGTGGAGCTGGAGGAACACAGCAGGTCAGGCAGTATCAGAGGAGCAGGAAAGCTGACACCCAGCCTCTACAGCCTTTTATTGTAGCAGATTCCACAGCTTGACCACCCTCTGAGTGAAGAAATATTTCCTGATCTCAGTCCTAAACAGTCTACCCCATGTCCTGAGACTGTGACCCCAGGTTCTAGACTCCCCAACCAGGGGAAACCTAGTGCCTCTATCTAGTCTGTCCCAGCCTGTCAGAATTTTATACATTTCATTCAGATTCCCTTTTATCTTTCTAAATTCTAGTGAATACAGACTCAATTGAACCAATCTTACTTCATATGACATCACCAGTGTCAGCCAAGTGAACTTCTGTTGCATTCCCTTTCTGATAAAGTATATCCTGTCGTAGGAGGGGAGTTCAAAATCACACACAATATTCCAGGCATGGTCTCACCAAAGCCTGTAGAACTGCAGTAAGATATTCCTCCTTCAGAACTTCAGAACTTACAGTGAAGGCCAATACACCGTTTGTCTTTTCAACTGCTTACTGGATCTGCCCATTGATTTTCATTGCCTGTTACACAAGGAATCCCGGATCTATTTGTACCTCCACATTTCCCAATAGATCACCATTTTAACACTGAAGTGTGTAATTTCACAATTATCCAGGTTGCACTGCATTTGTATAAAAATCAGAAATTGCTGGAAAAACCCAGCAGGTATGCTGGGAGAAGCAGAGTTAACATTTCAAGTCCAGTGGTGTTTCTTCATAACCGGATTCAAAACATTAATTCTGCTTTTTCCCCACAGATGCTGCCAGATGTGCTCAGTTTCTCCATCAATTTCCGTTTTTGTTTCAGAACTTCAGTGTTTACAGTTATTTGTTTTGTTATACTGCATCTGTCACGTGTTTGTCCACATACTTAACTTGTCTGGATTGCTCTGAAACCCCTTTGCATCCATCTCACAGCTCACAATCCACCTAGTTTCTGTCATCAGCAAACACAGAAAAGTTGCATTTTGTTTCCTCGATCAAGTTGTTTATATGTATCATGAATAGCTGGGGCCCAAGCATTAATCCCTGCAGTAGCCCACTAGTCACTGCCTCTCTCCTGGAAAAATGCCCATAAAGAGCATGATCAATCTTCAAGGGGCCAAGCAGTGCAATAAACAAGCTGGACATAGCAAAGAGAAAATAGTGGAAATTATGCTTCAGACCATTCTGCTGGTCTTTGCACACTCACGGAACAGAGCTTTGTCATTCATAACAAGGGGACTTGCACTTTGTTATGAAATTACCAGTTGCAGTATTACTACTGGCTTCAATCACTCCACCAGTTAGCAATGTAATATTTGGTATGACCCCTGTTGTGGTCAAAATAGTATGTAATGCATTTGTCAGTACGGACTGTACATTCAACTTCTCCACAGAATAGCATGGACATGTAACTTGCACAATGTAGCCACAGTGTTGCATTTGCCAAAGTAAAGAGGCCACTGCTGGCAGTCATGTTTTATGAGGCCTTTGAGACATGTGAGTGTGGCAAGGATTCCAATTGTATGATCCTTCATGAATTTGACTCTGGTGAGATATGGATATGCATGAGCCTCAGTGAAAGATTGTAAAGTTGTGAGAGGGCTAGCATGTGTGAATGATAAGGAAGGAATGATTTGACACATTACATTTTCTGACCTGTGCTTTGTACATGCTACATAGTCCTGTCATTTAGTCTAACCTTAACATATGCCTAAGAGCATGCCACCCATTCCTGAGTGTTGCCATTACCGTAGCTTATACCTCTTCTATCTTTAGCAGAAAGGTCTGGAGCACCAAATAGAACTAGTCTTGTTTACCCAACTCCTGCAGCACGTTTTCTATTTAATCAACTACAAAACAAAAGATCAGCTTTTATTTCACACCTGCATGGCTTGTCCTTTTATCCTGATTAAACCTTTCTTGCATTTGGCTGAAAAGTAAATCACTTTATCAGCATTTTAAAAAGCTCCATTTTTATCTCATAAATATAGTTACTTTCCTTTCAGTGGTTGATTTAATTTTGACACCATCCAGGATAAAGCAGTCCGCTTGATTGGAACAACATCCACGAACATCCCCTCCCTCCACCAACAACGCTCAGTAGCAGTGTGTACCATCTACAAAGTTGGAATGTGTCAGGGCTCTTTTTGTTATGTCGCCGGCTTAACTTTAAGAAAGAAACACATTTGAAGATAAAACTACTCTCACTGTGTTCCATTAGTATTTTCACCGGAATGACTGATTCGATGCTGAATATAGTTGAAAAATGGAAAGAAAAAGATACTGGCATGCAATTCCTTTTGAGAGCTTCTAGTCCTCTAGAGTCTATTTCAGATGGTCATTGCATTTTTCTTCCTCCAGGGAGGTGGGCATCGCTGGCTGGGCCTGCATTTATTACCTGTGCTTAGCTGTTCTTGAGAAAATGGTGGTGAGCTACCTTCTTAAACTGCGACAGTCAATGTGCTGTGGGTAGACCCACAATGCGGTTATGGAGGGAATTCCAGGATTTTGACCCAGCGACACTGAAGAAAAAGTGATATATTTCCAAGGTTGGATGTTGAGTGACTTGGAGGTGACCTTGTAGAGATTGCTGTTCCCATGTATTTCCTGCTCTTGTCCTTCTAGATGGAAATGGTCATGGGTTTGGAAGGTGCTGACTTAACATCTTCAGTGAATTTCTGCAGCCTTGTAGATGGTACACGCTGCTACTGAGCATTGTTGGTGGAGAGAGGGGATGTTTGTGCATGTCATTCTAATCAAGCGGGCTGCTTTGTCCTGGATGGTGACAAGCTTCTAAAGTGTTGTTGGGGCTGCACTCATCCAGGCAAGTGGGGAGTATTCCATCAGACTCCTGACTTGTGGCTTGTAGATGGTGGACAGCTTTGGGGAGTTAGAAGGTGAGTTAGTTGCCGTAGTGTTTCTAGATTATGACCTGCTCTTGTAACCACTGTGTTTACTTGGGGAGTCCAGTTAGTTGTTGGTCAATGGTAATTCCAAGGATGTTGACAGTAGGGAATTCAGTGATGGTAACACCATTGAAAGTCAAGGGGCAATGACCAGCTTGTCTCTTATGGAAGATGGTTATCACACAGCATTTGTGTGGCACAAATATTATTTGTCACTTGTCTGCCTAAGCCTAGATATTGTCCAGATCTTGTCACATTTGAACATGGACTGCTTCAGTACCTGAGGAGTTGTGAATGATGCTGAACATTGTGCAATCATTGGCGAACATCCCCATTTCTGACCTTATGATGGAGGGAATTATCATCGATGAAACAGTTGAAGATGGTTCAGCAAAGGACACTACCCTGAGGAACTGAGGCCAATTTTTTGGACACTGTAGACAACTAAGTTACCTGGTTCATTTCTACATGGGCAGTACACTGCCAGCAGCACTTTCTTTTAAATCCCTACTCAAATGAATATCTGCTTTTTCTGTTTCAGTGCAAGCCTTCCCTCAGATGTGCAGTTCATTTTCGGTTTGCCCCTTCGCCCAGAGTCTGAGCAGCTATTCACAGGACAGGAGCGGAGCCTGTCTCTCACAATCATCCAGTACATTGCCAACTTTGTCAAATCGGGGTAAGTTTTGTTTCACAATTGGCACAATATCAGTGGATAATAAGTGTCAATCAGACAGAGAGTGTGCGTACAAAAAGAAACAGAGAGAGAGAGAAAATCCACAGAGAAGGAAAGGCAAAGTGAAGGGTAGAGGAAGAGAGGGAGAGTCGAAGAAAGTGACATAGTAAAATTGATATTGTCCTTCAAAGAGGAAAATTCCAATGGTTCTGAAATGATGCGAACTATCAGCCACTAATATATTCATCTGAAACTTTTTGTTACTTTAAACAAACTTTTTAATCAATTTAACCAACTCCTCTTTTCAAATGTTTCGTTCATATCTTTTCCCTCCTGTGAAGTGCCTTTTGATATTTCTTATGTGAGATTTACAATATAAGCACAATATTTTATTGTGAATTCAATGTTACCATCGATAATATTGTTAAAAATCTTTTGCCAGTATGCTTTTCCTGTTAATGTCTTCCAATATAAATTACAATGGCAGTATTTATAATGGACACTGTCTGCGTATAGTTGTCACACCCCTTAAGTATAGTGTCTGACCTGTGGTCAAAATAAAATGTCTTAGGCTTTGTCCATACTGTTAAGAAACACTTGCCTTTGGCTGCACATTTATCATACAACAAGAGCCCCAGTTCAATAAATCTATCCAATAATTATAGTTTCATTCTGATGAAGGAGATAGAGGGTAATTTTCATTCACACAAGATGACACAGCTTTGAATTCCTGATGTGTGTGGCCAGTCAGTAAGAATTTAAAATGATAATGCAAGCTCAGTAATTCATTTCTGCCTTCCATCATGAAGTCTTTTCCAAACTTTTTTTCAGCAACCCCAACTATCCCTTCGTCTTCTCCAGGAAGTCTGCTAGTGAGGCTCTACCTCCATGGCCTCGTTTCTTAGACAGCACCGATGGCAGTAACTACAAAGAATTTGCATCTGCCCTCAAAAATAAGAAAGGATTGAAGACTGCAGAATGTTCTTTCTGGAATGATTATGTTGAGATGTTCTTGGCATCCACGGGTAAGCATAAGTACACAGTCTGCTCTTTCCATCATTTGGATGAGACTTCCCTTAACTGAAACCCCATCAACTGGTCTTAATATCCCAGATCATTACTCAAAGAAAAACAGAGGGTCATCACTTGTTGTCCTGAGCAGCATTTATGCCTCACCCAACTAAACAAACTAAAACAGATATAGATGTAGGGACCATCATTAAATTTGCAGATCAAACAAAACTGAATGTGATTGACATTGAGGGAAAAAGAACTGTAGGAAGCAGGAAATGTCATGGATTGGACAGATTAGCAGAAAAGTGATGGATCAAGTTCAATATGGAAAAGTGGGAGCTAATGCCTCTGTGGAGATTCACAAAGCAAGAAACACACAATAACTGGTGAGATATGAGACATATAGAGAAATAGAGGTGCCTTGGAAGGCACGCACCCATATCCCTAAAGGTAGCAGTACAAATTGGTAAGGTAGTTAAATCAGCAAACAATGTTTCTCCAAGAGATATTCCACCACCCATTCTGTGAAATTCCAGTAAATGTAGTCCTAACGGATTCCGTTTCTCTATGTACATCAGTGCTGCCATCCCAGGAATCAGTCTAGTAAACCTTTGTTGCACTCCCTCCATAGCCACAACATTGTTTTTTCGGATAAGGTGACCAAACTGCCCATAATGCCTTGGTGCAGTCCACCTTGTATATCATTGATAATGTTGTAGCTGTTCATCAATAGTGAAAGGATTGAATGTTGAATGCTTTGACCTGGATGGTGCCAAGCTTGTTGAATGTTGCTGGAGGTGCACTCATCCCAACAAGTTATGCACAGTCCTCATTTAGGCCTTGTAGGCAATAAGGAGACAGGAGGTGAGTTTCTTACCACATACTTCATAGACCCTGACCTGCTTTTACATAGAAACGTGCAAAATAGGAGACAACATAGACTATTCAGCCTCTCGTACTTCTGCCACCATTTACTAAGATCGTAGCTGATATGTTTGCATTTTGTATTCACATCTCCATCTATTTGTGATAACTTTTCATTACCTTACCTTACAAGAATCTACCTACCCTGTGTCTTTAAACTAATCAATGATCCTACTTCCACCACCTTCTGAGGCAGAATTCCAAAGTCGCACAACCTTCTGAGAGAAAAAAATTATCGTCATCACTCTCTTAAGAGGGCAACCCCTAATTTTTAAACAGCGCCACCTAATTCTGGACTCACCCACAAGTAGAAACATTCTTTCCACATCCATCTTTTCAAACTGTACAGGATCTTATAAACGTCAATAAAACACCCCTCACTCTTCTGTATTCCACTGAAGGGAAGCCCAGTCCGACAACCCAGCCTCATAACATATTTGAAATGGAACAATAAAATGAGCTCACTTTCCTCAATGGAAAAATTTGGAGATCGCTAAAGTGCTTCTCTACGGCTATCTACTACAAAACAATCTCCATTGATCAGGGCAAGTATTGCGATTCTACAGCTCCACGCCCTATAAACAAAGCAAAGTGCAGCACTGATGTGCAGAGGTTAACTGTAAATGGGTCAGAGAAGTGCCATGAATTGATGATGATGATGCAGTGAGGCTGTTATATGTCAGATGCCTATTTCTGTGGACATGGGGTACATGTGCCTGCTGCCTGTGAAGTACATCCTGAGACATTGGTGCCAGGTGTCCAAGGTAGAGGGCTGAAGGAATCTTCAGGAGCCCGCTCTTTGACTTTCACATCAGGAATTCTCAGTGTCTTGTTTCTATCCAGCAGGTGGCAGAATGGAAGCCTGCATGTTAATGAAGTGATATTAGGTAGTAATGAATGTGATCATGAGCGATAATTCCTGTTAATAGGCCTCTTGCTATTTACTGGTGAGAACCTCTTCTCAATGTCTGGGACTTGGTTTGAAAATGTGACTTTTTGATCTCAATGCTGAGAAGGCCCTCACTGACACCTCACCCATTTTCCCACCATAGCTCACATCATTCAGGACCTGGGAAAATTCCGCTCTGTGTGGAAATTCGAGGAGATGGTGATGCGCAGTGATAATGTCAATAGTAATTCAAAGGCCAAGGCTAGTGCTGTAGATCATGTGCTGAAATCACACTATAGTAGCTGGCAGAATTTAAATTAATGACTAAGAAATGATTGCTGATTATTGCAAAACCCCATCTGCTTCACTAATATTCTCGACGGAAGGAAATCTGCTTTCCTTACTTGGTTTGGCCTATGTGTCATTCCAAACCAACACAATGGGGTGAAGTCTTTTAGAAATGGTCTAGCAAGCCAAAGTTCAAAGGCAATCAAGGATAGGCAACAAATATCAACCTTGTCTGTGATGTCCATATCCAATGAAGAAATAAAAAAAAGTGAGTGAAGACAGGAGTGCCCTCTTCGTGAAGCTCTATGTGGTCAAATATAATTCTTCAACGTTAACATCCATATTTTGATAAGCAAGTTGAATGTAATTTGTTGATCATACAACTTTAGCCTACTTAGAGTCAATATCTACATGGAATGAAGAGAGATGAAGATGAAGATGATAGAAAATTTACACATTAAGACACTTTAGATCTATGCATTTGTTTAAGTAATTAACTGAAACACTTGAGGTAAACACAGCCTTCCAGCCTTTCTTCTCAGACATGACTGCTTCTATTAAGAGCTTCACACCTCCTGATGAAAAAATGTACTGCATATTTTTTCAGCATGTTTTCTTTGAGGATTCACACAGATGTCAGATTACAAAAACCCGAGACGATTTAAGGGACAGACAGCTTCCTTTTGTTCCCTTTGGTTTTTCTGTTTATACTTTTAAGGTGAAAAAGAAAAGATTATTCTCAACTTTTCAGAGTTAATTGTGTTTTTGCAAAGGACAGATCGTGTTTCTGAAGCCCTCTTGCCAATCCCATTGATTTATGCTGCAAGATGATATAATGTACCGGAGCACTATGCTCTCTGGTACTATACTCAAAGTATTTGCTCTTAGTTTTGACTATTGATAAAGGGAAATGTCAAAAAGCGCATTAATCATGATGAACCCCATCTTGTTTCAACTGAATGTGAAAAAAATAGTTATTTTTGTCTAGGTCAGTTCAGAAAACGAAAGCATTAGAAACAAAGGTTCAAATGGAATCTAAATATAGTACAAATGAATTGACATGCCTTGATTCCGTGATAAATGGCAGGGTTGCTTTACGGCCATTAATAAATTGACTTCAGCGACTAAGTGGTAAATCTATAGAACAAGGTCCTCAGGAAGAGATAAAATAGTTAGTTAAACTCTGTTTACTCTCAACAGATGCTGTCAGACCTGCTGAGTTTTTCAAGCAATTTCTGACTTTGTCACAAAATAGTTTTTTTAAATTCATTCAGGAGATACACAATGGTAGATTCAAGGATGTTGATTGAAAATTAGAAAGATTGGACTCAGAAATCTGCATCAGCAACTTGAAAAATTAGATGTGATGTGTATAACATGTTTGGGACTGGCAAGTGGGCTTAGCATTCACAACAATTTCCAATACTCGGGGTTTGTCTATCTGCCCGTCTCATAAACCAATTGACAAGGATTGATTTCTGTGATTAGTAACTAACTTAGTGCATCTTAATTTCCCATGTTCTCTTCGAAGTAGCATCAGCTTCCTCTTTGCACACATGCTCAATGCGCCAATTCAAAACTTTTGTAGCAGCGGGCAAATGCAGCAAAAATACTCCACAATCTGCAAAATTAGTCAGACAGATGTCCATCATTAATGTACAATTTCATACAAACATTTTCTCCTTCCTTCACCTCCACTTACATCAATAGGAGCAGAAGAATTGTCTTGTATGGAGTGTTTGATCCCTTCAGCAACAATATTGATCCTGTTTCTAATTAGATTTTTATTCAACTCTATTTTTAAGGTATTACTCGACTCAGCCTCAGCAATTTCTCTTCAATGCCTCTCTCTTTCAGCTCAGGCACATCTCTCTAAAGCTCAAAACCTCTTATCAATAATGATTTAATCCAACCCCTGTCTTGGCACTCTCCCATTCTAGTTCAAGCTTGCTGACGCTGTTGCACTTATAAAACATTTTGAAATGTTTCTGTCCATGAAGGTGCTGCATAAGTATTTATTGTGATCTTGGGAGGCTGTTCTATATGGTCACTTACTCCATAAGAATTTCCAATCTTTGACTTTACTTGAGACTTCCTTTTTACAGGGACAGTGTTGGCTCAGAGTCTATGAGTGTAACGTATCTGTAGGAGGTGTAATTGGGGCAATGTGTGGTAAGTTGTGTGATCATTTTAATAGTTACTTTATCCAGGAGTTAGACTAGGTTTTATAATGTTCTAAATTTTCCAGGGCAACTTTTAACAACTGCAGAGGATTCCTCTAAATTCTCAGATTTAAATGGATAGTTTTGGACTGTTCTAATCATATGGGAATTACCCATTGGAATCTTCAAATCTCCAGGCAATTCCCTCGGACTCTACCACATCGGGGTCTTCACAGGGTCTCGACAATACAACTCCCTTAAAATGTTGCAGAAATGACTATCTGTAATAACTGTGACTCTCAAATATTTTTCTGCATTCAGGTTTTATTTTCACCTATATATGAGATCATTGTAAGTGGTCAGTGCAAATTATCAGTTACCGATCAACAATGGTGCCCGCATTGTGTGCCTGAGAACCATTAACTGACCCTCTCTTGATAGTATTTGTATTCTGCCTGTGACTTAAACATGTATTTTATCTTTCAGGTGATGTCAGTGAGAATAATCTGAGCAGAGATCAACATGGCCAAGTCTTCCCGTCATCAGTCACTCAAACACAACCGCAACCAGCAAAGGAAGTTTACAATTAAGATGAAAATATCTCCACTGCAGATGATTTCAAATGCTAATTCTGATATGTCTTAGAAACATTTAATGGAAATTGCAGAAAAGAAAATAGTAAAATAAAGCATCCATTATAAAAATAAATATGGTTACAGTCTAGATCTTGTGTCAGCACTGACCTCAATTACGTCAAGTTCATCCGTGGTAAGATTTATCATTGCTGAACCTACTCAGTGACTAGCTTCTTCATTCTTTAGATTTCATCTGCATAGAGCCCTATTACAACTTATTGGTCATTTAATTAATATGTGGCATGCAATAAATATTAAACTTTGTGCATTTGTACAGGTAGTTAATATCAGGAAGAACTGGGATTAAATAATGCATGATGAATCATCACAGCTCTCAGCTAAGGGGCTGAGACCAGTAATACATGTTCATGTGTATGAAGGAGATTTCTCTGTGTGGCAGCATACAGTACTTATTGCATTAGCTTGGAGACAGTCTATCTGCTGCTGGTAGATGCATTTTCAGTTCATGCATCTGATAAAATTATTTAAGATAAGAACATAACAAATACACCAGCAATTGGCATCGCTCATTTGATTCCTCAAGCTTGCTCTGCCATTCAAAAAGAACATAGCTGTCCTGATCTTAGCTTCACTGCCAATTCCCTGATTTTATTTCTCCCATGTCCTTCCACATCCTTGTAGTTAAAGAAGTTGTCTATTTTGAACCTCAATGATCCAGCCTCCACAGGTCCCTAAGGCTGAGAAGAACTATCTTTAGCCATTTTATAAGTCAGTAAACATGTTTACACTCCTGGTTCAGCGGATCTCTGTACATGTTTCTTTTACCCAGAATATGGAAGTTTAAATGTTGCATACTTGCTAGTCTATATGTACAGCTGTCAGTGTATTATGTGGGTGCAATTGTGCACACAGATAGTCGGAAACGCTGATAACAGGTTTCAGAACAACATAGCAAGCAAACCGCATGAGAGTTGAAAACATAACTAAATAAGTCAAAACTGTTGGAAAGTACATAATGGAAAAACAATTTATGTTTATAAATCACTGAACTGGCCACCAGTTGTTTTCTTTGTGAATTCCTTTATCATTGATAGCATTTTCAATGCAAGGAAACTATTTTTACATTTCTCACACGCCGTCATTGCTAGGTTGGGTGCAACACAGAGTGTGCCTTAAGGCATTCTTATTTCTGTTGGAAATTCTGAAAACCAATGTGTTTTGAATCAGTCTCTATTTCAGTACAGGATAGCACAGATGCTTTAAGGATGATTTAAGGAGAAGCTAGATGAGCATTTAGAAATATATAAAATAGGAGCATCTGGGCCTTTGAGCCTGCTCCACCATTCAATATGATCACGGCTGATCATCCAACTCTGTACCTTGTTGCCATTTTCTCCCTATAACCTTTGATCTATTTGGTTGTAAGAACTGTATCTAACTCTTTGAAAATGCTCAATGTTTTGCCCTCAACCATTTCCTGTGGCACAGAATTCCAGAGGCTCCCCATTCCCTGGATGAAAACCAACTCCTCATCTCAGTCCTAAGTGGCTGATCCTGTATCCTTAGACTGTGACCTCTGCTTCTGACTCCCCAATCATCAGAAACATTGATCCTGCATTCGCCCTGCCTAGTCCTGCGAGAATTTTATAGGTTTCTATGAGATCACTGCTATTTCACCACCACTAATGCCACCCCCACCCCCCCACACCATTCTTTTAAACTGTAATGAATACAGTACTAACTGGTCCAGTCTCTCTTCATACGTCAGTCCTGCCATCCCTGGAATCAGTCTGGTAAACCTTTGTTGCACTCCCTCCATTGCCAGAACATCTTTCCTCAGACAAGGAGACCAAAATTGTGCACAATACTCCATGTGTGGTCTCACCAAGGCCATCTCCAATTGTAGTAAGATATCCCTGCTCCAAAATGGGAATGCTTTTGCTCTGAAGACCAACAGACCATTTGCCTTCTTCATTGTACTTGCATGTTGACTTTCAGTGACTGGTGTACAAGGACTCCTAGGTCTCGATGCACCTCCCCCTTTTCCAATCTATCAATTTTCAGATAATAATCTGCCTTCCTGTTTTTGCTACCAAAGTGGAAAGAAGGAGACGATATGAAGGAGAAAGGATTAGAGCAGACTTGCCAACAGCCACATACAGCAAGGCGGTCAATGTGATTCTTGAGCCTATGTTTGAAATACTTTTGAAAGATTTTGAAATGAACTGTTCCTCCAGTGAGAGGCTAGATCTCTCCTTATACCTGCTTCTCATAGGCTCACCAACGAACCTATCAGCAGCAGATGCAGGAGGGAGGTGGCCTGTGAATGGAAGAGCAGCGAGTAGCATAATGTGGCACTTGCTGTAATGGATGGAGAGACTTTCAGAAGGACAATGTTCTGGCGTGGAATTAAATGACAGCCAGGCCTTAGGGGAAGGATGTGAGAGATGGAGTGGGCATGGGGCACTGCGAGGATGGGGGAGGTGACAGTTAAGCAGGCTGTCCTGAAATGGGGTCACAGAGGTGTTAGTTATTGAGAGACTCAGGGAAGGGATAAGTGAGTGATTGGGGTAGGAGTTGAGTCAGTGACTGAGGGTGGGTGGGTGATTTGAGGGGAGTGAATTGATCGAGTGATGATTGACAGGAGGGTGTGACTGTTGAGACTGGAGGTTGAGTGAGTGAGTGACTCTGGGTCTAGGTGTGAGAGTGACTGGGGAGTTGGTTGGGCGAATGGATAAGAGAGTGAGTGAATTACCTGGGAGTTGGCAGATGAGTGACTAGGGGCTGGGTGGGTGAGTGAGCAAGCCAAAATTACCTATCCATCCTCTCGTCCTCCTCGCCCTCCACCTCCCTTTCTTCCAATCCTTGCAAACACCTACTCAAACACCACACACAGGTAGTGGAGGCTGAAAGGAAATTCATTTCCACTCCCCACTCTCATGTGAATTCTGCCAAGGTCAGCTTGGATTGTAAATCACTAGGACTGAACCAAAGTCAGTGCTTACCTAAACCCAAATCATTAGCTCAGCCCCAGACTCTAGCCCTTTCTGACTGATCAAGAGTTGAGGCCAAGATGTTTTCTTAATTGAATAGGCAATGAAAAGGTTTGTTAGTTAGCTCTGTAGCTTGACACCTTTTAATAGTAATTTTAATTAATTACTTCTTTAAATAACCAACTTAATGCTTTAGAATGTTTTTCTTCTGAAATTCATGTGTATTATTGTGCCAAACAATCTCTGTCTAAATTTGCTTTCTGTTCCCCCATACTCCTGCCATGCAAAAAGGTTGATCAACCCTGGATTAAATGGTTATGTTGATAGACTTAGATAAGTGAAGGCTCAATGGGAGCATAAATACCAGCATGAACTGGTTGAATTGCATGATCTGCTCCTGTGTCATATGTCCTAAGTAATCCTATGTTAAACTTTGACAGAGCTGATTAGAAACAGGAGCCCATGTATCCCATTATAGTTCATCAACTGTGTAAGAATACAAGTGTGGAGAAAGTCTGGAATATACTAGATATGGGATAAAGCACAGAGTTATGTGTGTTTCACAGAGAATAAGACACAGGCCAGAGTGTGTGACACCCAGGATCAAAGTTTTAGCGTCATGAAATCTTAGCCCAGTATAAAAGTCAGCCAAACAGGAAGGCAGAAACTGAGGAGAGAAGTGAAAAAGAAAATGAATAATGTGAGACGATTGAGAAGTTTGTCATTTCAAATTGAAAATAGTTGACAATGGATGATCAAGAAGTGGAATGTTCTCTGAATTATAACTTCCTTCAAAACATTTGGGGGAATTTTACGATTAAAATTCAAAGGAAATCCAAGGTTATTATTAAAAGCTTGCCAAAGATCTACCATAGGCTGTATAAATCACATTTATATTGTTCAGTATTCATTAATATCTGCATTCCATAAAGTGCATTACTTTATGAAATATTCCTTTAGATACCTTCAATATAAACTCAAATGTTCCTCAATCATTTTTGTATCTATACAGATTATTCATTGACACTAAGAGTAGCTACTTTCTACAAAGGGCAGGTTCGTCACTCTGTCTAAAATGTATGGAAAAATAAAGATCACTTACTTGTGCCCCAATTTCATGATTTTGAGATTCCCAAAACACTTTTCAACCAATAAAGAATCTTTGACATATTAATTGAAAACTATTTCAGTGATGTTGGTTCAGAGGTAAATGTTGGGTAGGATGGCAGGGAGCTCTTCTACTTCAAAATAATGGCATAGGACCATCTCCATCCATCTCAGAGGATAAATGGCAGTCTCAGTTTAAGGTCTCATCTGAAAGAAGAAATCTGTAGAGATCATTCAGTAATGCACTGACTGTCTGTCTAGATTCAGTGTTCAAGGATTGGAAGTGGAACATTGGAATATCAACCAGTCTCCAATGGTGAGGACATGATTTATAAAAGAGAATGGCTAGGGGAGAACACTTGACTCGTAGGATACATGATAGGATTATTCTCATGTAAGGACAACATGTAGGACATATTTGGCATGGTGGGCCTGAGCTAGCCTCTTCCCATCTTGAGAGAGCAGGCAACAGAATATTCTGAGCTTTTAGATCGTTTTTGGTGGCAGGTAGAAAATTTCAATCAGGACAAGCTTCCTGAGAAATTGGTTTGCACCAGAAAAGATAGGCCTCATTTAAATGCCAACAAGCTGAATAGACATTCGGAGAATTCTCAAGAAGCTTGCAGGAGGATCAGATTTAGATTTAAGGCTGCAGGATCACGGTTGCCCTGCTGTTAACCTGGGATGGGAGGCAGTTGGGAAGGGGTAAGTGAACAGAATGGAGAACAGTAATCTAGATCCCATCCATGTTGTTTGCTTTTGGTCCCTTTTCCTGATAAATTATTTCCCAACTCATTGATTGAAAACTTCTGCCTGGCTTCAGTTCCAGTTACCAGCTTCCTAATTTTGAGTTTACGCCTCTCAGTATTTGAATCTTTCATCACAGTTAGTAAGATGTCTGCAGCAATCTTGTTAATCCATTTTATATCTTTAAATAATTCAGTTAGGTTATCTCCTCTTTTCCTTCAGCTTTCCCCATAATTTGAACGTAATTTAATGCCAATAGATTTGGCAAGTTTTCTAATAG